GCTAGCCAAAGACGCCGTGATTGTCAGGGTTGGGTCCAAGTCCGACGATCTCGCCCAAACCTTTTGCCTGTTCCTGAGCGGATAGGGCCGCGGGCAATACCGAGTACTATCTACTGCCCCACATTTTTAATAAAAGTGCTGTGGAGATTGTTGACCAAATGTGTCAAAGATGCGCTTAACTTTGGTATAGTGTGGTGGTGGGGCTTTCTAACTCCGACTAGATACTCTGTCTCTTGTCGGGGGAAATCATTATGTCTCCTGAGATGATACCTTTGGGGAGGCTCGTGAATTCTAAGATCACATACAGAGCCCCCTCTCTGGATTAACGGGGATTTGCGGCGCGAGGAGCAACTAACAACTGTACTAGGACGCTGAATTTTGCCTCCATCAATCACTCGCCTACAACTTCTCGTCCAGAAACACTGGCACCCAGTAGCTATCTGGATATTGCCGGAGCCGGCTTTTGCTTTTCTGGCCGAGGTTCCCGGACGTACACCTCCCTCTGCGATTTCAGCCCACCATCGGTGCCTACAAGATGCAGCCGAATGGATCTCGGTCTTTAATGACCTTTTCGATTATATACTACCGCACGTCGACTCCGCCTTCTCTTCATTGCCCCATATATTTGCTCCCATCTGCTTTCCTTTAGGAGTGGCAGCGTCAAGAGCCCTCTCGCACAAATCGGGCTTCATTATCGGCGACATGAGCGCTACTGTCATAATACCTGATCGAGTTTTCGGCGATAGATTCAATTTGGAGGAGATTGACCTAGCGACCCTCGTAGATTCCTCCATTCGCGCAAAGCAATATGCGGGTAAGAATCATCTCGACAACACCCCTCCCAACGTGCACACCTTATCTTCGTCTTCAATCTTGTCGCAAACTGATGCTCGCTATCCTTCCTAGTCGCTTTCCTGGCGTGGATGCTGTATGAATACTGTAAGTGGATTCTATGGCGTTTCCCCATATCTACGCTGCAATGCTTATGTGAATCAATAGACATCACTATTGACCAAAGTGTTCGTATTCCATTCCGTCTTCGAATGTACGACGTCTCAACCAGACCCTAGGTCGATCTCTTTTGGAATCGCAA